TTTTTGTTTCAGGTGCAGCAGGAGGTGACATCTTCACAGAATAATCAAATTCATCAGTGTTCCGGTTCCAGGTAAGTCCTAAAATCTTAGTTATACTATCCATTTTTATTTCAAGGTCTCTACCAGAAGTTTCCTTCAACGTTTCCAAAATGGATGGTCTATTGCTTGTCCACTTTTGCAATTGGAACCCCGCTTTCTCTAATAGACAATTCATTTCATCATAAATTAGTTTTACTTCTGTTTCAGATTGACACCCAGTCATCAGATCGTCCATATAGAAGTCTGACTTCACCCTTTCAGCAGCCATTGGATACCTCTCGCCTTCATCGCACGCAACTTGCTGCAACGACTTTACAGCTAAGTAAGGAGCGCATGACGTACCAAAGGTGACAGTCAGAAGTCGGTAATCCTCGATCTCTTTGTTTGGATTCTCTCTCCAAACAATTCTTTGATAATCTGTATCAGGTCGAGCGACCTTGATTTGGCGATACATTTTGACGATATCGGCAGCCAGACAGATCGGATGTTGACGCCATCTCATGACAATATGTCGCAAATCTGCCTGAAGAGTGGGTCCTACCATTAAGGTGTCATTTAAGGAAACCCCGTTCGTTCCCTTACATGACGCGTCATAAACCACTCTTACCTTAGTGGTTAATTTATCCTGTCTAACCACTGCGTGATGAGGCAAATAAACAGCATCGTTTTTATTTATTTCAGCCTTATCAACGATTTTCTCCATATGACCTAGCAATAAATATTCTTTTATTACATCAGCATACTGTTGTTTTAATTCATCATCCCTACCCAGTTTCCTTTCTAAACCTAGCAATCTTTTTACAGCTATATTTTTAGAATTACCGTATTTACAAAGTGGATCTTCGGAACGAAAAGGTAATTTTACGACATATCTCCCATTGACATCTCTAACTGTCGATTGTTCGTAAAATTCTTCGCAGGCCTGTTCTTCAGGCGTGAGAAGCTTTTTCGTTATAGCAGGTTCGGAATCCAATTCCCATAAACGTTTTAACATATCATTCTCCTCTATTTGAGTGTACATCGTGATTATAGTATTATGAGAATTTAGAGAGCTATCTGCCTTACTGACATAGCCTGACACAATCCAACCTAAATGCGTGTCTTGTGCGACCGGAGAGCCTGTAGGACTCTTGATCAGACCTTCCTTTAAAATACGGCAGTATACTTCCCCCCCTAATAAAATATCAATTTTATTAGAACGACTGAAATTTGGGTCGGCTAGACGTATGCTGTGAATTTCTGGCCAATTGTCAAGGTTGACATTCTTATCTGGCATAACCGATGTCAGTGAACGTAGTACATGCGCAGTTACGTTTATGGTATAAGAGGAATCATGCAACGATTGAATATCAATATTCACTACATGTTTAGAAACGATCTTGCTATGCTCACCTCCTATACCTTTAATAGTAGTCTTTGAGACTACTCTCCTTAAACGAAGTAATTGCGCAGCTGACTCAGTTATAAAGGATGCTTGTGATCCTTGATCCAACAAAGCTCTCAAAACCTGAGAGGACCCATTTTGTGATTCGGCTTTAACCAAAGCCGTGGCTAACAAGACCTGACCCTGCGTTTGTTCATTCACAAAATGAGATGCTATACTTACCTTGACATCATGGACTGGCTCTGAAGTACATCCAGGTTCAGGGAGAATAGGTTCCCCTGACGCAGTAACCCTAATGGCTCCACTATGGTTCTTCGGATGTAGCAGCGTATGGTGTTTACGCTGACAAATACGGCATTTCGAAAAAACACGGCAGTATTTGGAAGTATGATTACTTCCCAAACAATTAAAACAGGCACCCAAAGATTGTGTTACGGCACGACGTCCGTCCACATCTAGTTGGCAAAACTTCTTACAATTTAAGAGTTTGTGACTCTCCGAACAGTGTGGACATAACATATTAGTCGTACCGTGCATGACCTTAGTGTGAGATGTAGGATGATGATCGACTTTTAATTTATTTTTAGGCTCAACGCATTCGAGAGCACGAAAACGTGTTTCCAAAAACTCGCAAAACTGTTTAAAGGAAGGTAGATCGTCGGATGATTTAGTGACATGCAGTTCCCACTGCTTCCTCGATTCTACGTCCAACTTTAAGCTTGCAACGTAAATAATAATTACATCCAAGAACTTACATCGATCCAATATTAGTAAGTTCGTGCAAACAGTCCTGGTCACATCTAGTAAATCTTTTAGTGCTTTGATGATTCATTTCCAATATTACGTTGGCCAAATAATCTATTTAAAATATATGTGGATACAAATCTCTTGTTATTATACCTATGTTCTAACATTTCCCAGCATTTTTTATAGTTTAAATCAGTTATAGGTACATGTTTTATAAGCTGCTCCGCTTCACCTGACAGTTGAGTTTTTAAATAATGGAGACGTTGGACATCATCAAGTTTTTTATTGTTGTGTACTAATGACACGAACAAATCACGGAATGACGACCACTCTGTATATTTTCCGCTAAAAGTAGGTAAAACTATTTTTGGCAATCTTACCACACTGCTGTCAGATGAACCATCGCAACCTTCCTTCCTTGAGCTGTGAACTTTTAATTGGGACAAAACATTTTTTAATTCTACCTTGTACATTAAATAACACTCATAAACCGTCTCATAGATATCTTCCTGGAAAAAGTCCTGTAATTCTTCACTTTCGCAATCACCTACGATGACTTCATATTTCGCAGAAAAATTCTTGAATTGGGTCTCTAACATCTCTAAACGTGCATCGACATAATTGTAGTTTATCCGATCTCTCGGGGACTTCTTGTAATTTATCCAGCCCTTTTCAATTTGTAATTTGATATCTTTCAGCTTTCTTAGTTCTTTCTCCATGTTGTTTGTATTCATGAAAATATTCTAAGTCCAGTGAAAGATAGATGAAAATTCTCTAAGTGTCGCTGACAGTTGACAATTGACAAATTTTCCAAGTCCAAACTATAGAGAATTTTTCTAAGTGTTTAATACTTTGTAGATCGCTTCGAAATCGGGCATAGATTCGACGTCTGGTCGTTTTTCTCGAAACTATTCTAAGTCCCTGATCGAATGCACGCGAATTTTTCTAAGACCCTAGTTTTAATGATTTGAATGTACTCACAGTTCTTTGTCCACAATTATGCACTTCACTTCACTACTACGAAGTTCAACGATGATTCCCGATGTATGTCCTCGGCAGCTGAGCACGTAGTCTTCCACATGTGGTATTGTTAACCGACAACTATCACCATCTCGTATCAATTAGCACAACTATATTTAATTGTATGTGTTCTTCCATAAACACCCTTCGGCTCGACTGGACCATGAACAGTATCGGCCGAAAGTCCTTTGGAGCCTATTACTTGAAATAATACGAAGTACCTCAGAGCAAGACAATTTATTTACGTCAAAGCAGACAACCTAATGTTTTGCCGGTAACGAAACCATAGCTTGAATTTAAATCGGCCAACGCCATCTATCGAGCTATGGGACAACACAATAAATAGTAGTATGGCGTTGGCCGAGTGCATCTTTTAAACAGATTATTTCTACACTGAACACTAATCGCCGAAATTATTAAACTACCGTTGAACTGAAATCTGTGTATTAAGAACGATTTTTGACAAAGGTTTTTTTTAAATAAAACGTTGCCACATACTAGGATTTTATCCTATGTCGTGGGTGCGTTTACAAACATACAAGTTCACATACACATGACACCCAGACACGGAACAAAAATCTATGGATCATTCAAAGAGTGGTTCCATGCGGGAATAGAGCCCACGACGTTTAAGCGATTTGTCACGGAGAACCTAACGGGTTACCGGGACTTCGGCTCGACGTGCAGGAGAAGGAACGGGGTGGTTTTTAGTCAGTAAGTGTCGGACACTCCCTTCACAGGCGGAAGCAGTCATTCGATGATTTTCCCCTTAAAAAAAATGATTTAAGATTGAGATCGGGTATTGATTTTGCTCGTATGTGGAGTAATAGATAGAGAATTATTTTAGTTCATATTTAGTGAGTTATCGATTAATATAGTGATGTACCTATTACACACACAGTGTAGAACTAAACTTAGTGCTGAACTGCCACATTGTGCTGTGGAAAGTACGTTAGTTTTATTTTATAAATAAGCATTAAGTCATTTTTGCTATAAAAAATAAGCTACTGTTGTTATAAAAATGTTTAAAAGGATAAAAGAAACCAGAAGCAATAATATAAAAATAGAAAAATTAAATGAGAATGCCTTATGGAATGCGTGAAGTTACCGCATCAAACATGAATATTGCTATTAAAGTAAACAAGGAGACACCGGAGCTTTTTTTAAGGGGGGAAAATCATCGAATGACTGCTCCCGCCTGGGTGAGGCGGGAGGGAGTGTCAGGCTCTTACTGACTAAAAACCACCCCGTTCCTTCTCCTGCACCTCGAGCCGGAGCCCCGGTTACCCGTTAGGTTCTCCGCGACAGACATCGGAGCTTGCGTCAGACTTACATATAGAATTTTACAAATTGTAGTTAATATAAGTTTCGCGACAGATTTGCTTAAATTACCTATTATTTTATAACATTATATTGTGTAACATAAGGAACATCTGAATGTTTCATTCTATTTACTGAACATTCTGTACAAGTAAATAATAAAAATATATTTTAATAAAGCATTGTTGCATTGACCTCAATAAAATTGTAACTGTTAAATTGACTATAATAAATCTGTCAAAATATTAATTTAAATAATAGAAATAGGTGATTTATATACATATATTATTTTTCACACAGTATATTATCATTAAATTAAAAATTATAAACTTTCATGGATGCGGTTTTAGGGAAAGTAATTCCTTCTATCTGTTATTCATAATATATTTAAAAGTCAAATTAAAATAATAGGTTTTATTGCTTAATACTACGAACTTACATAAAATAACCGTAATTGTATTTTTGTAACGTAATGTCACATTAGATTTAATCATTTCGTCTCTTTTTTAGGATTGTCCCGCGCAGAAGGAACTCTTCTTCCAGGAACAGGGGGAGGAGCAGCCAGAGCTGCTGCTTGCTGGGCAGCAAGTGCCACCTCATAAGCAGCCTTGACTCGCGTACCCAACTCTTTGTCAACCAAGAATAAGAGTTGGAAAACTCTTTGAATTACCGGCGGAGTGACTGGCAAAAGAGACAAGACAATATTGTCTATAAACCTCTGCCTGTGAGCTTCATCTTCCAAAATATAATTGTAGAAATACGACATCGGTTCCAAATCTACGGCATTATTTTCTAATACTTGCAACTTCTTCCACGGCCTCTTTTCGTCTACGTATGGAATTGGTCCGTTAAAGGAATTAGCATAATAGTTAGGAGCGTTCTTCATGTTAAGCTTAGTCGGTGGTCTTCCATCTCGTACATACGTCTTTTCGTACAATGGCGTGTTTACTAAAATATTGTTGTGGTTTCTTCCCAAACGGTAATTTTGTGTATCTCTATAGAATATTCTCCTTCCACGGAACAAAAAGTCCACTGGTCCAGGAATACCGGGTACTAAATGACCCGGATTAAAGGCCGCTTGTTCGATATCTCTGAAATGATTTTCAACATTTTGATTCAAAACCAACCGTCCAATTGGCACTGTGATGAATGTGCCATTTTTCCACAATTTTGTGACATCGAAAGGATCGTAATCAACTGTTTTTATGTCATCTGACGTCATCACATCCATCTCTAGTTTCCATGCAGGGTACTCTCCTGAGTCAATAGCGTTGTACAAATCTCGAGTATAGTAATCCAAATCTCGAGCTTGAATGGCGGCTGCCTGAGCACTTGTGAGCGGTGAGAATCCCAACTCAGATCTTAAGTTGAATCGTACGTAGTGTGTTTCTCCATGCTTATTTGAAACTTCAAAAGCATGAATGGCAAATGTATCCATCCTTCTATAACCATTCGGAAGACCATAATCAGACATTATCCAAAACAGATTATGGCCAAGCTCTGGCCTTAGTGTTGTTATATCATAAACGCTTGTGAAATCATACAGATTAGTCTGAGGATTTCTCTGAAATGCATTTACTAGGTCCCTGAATAACATGGGATCTCTGAATGGAAAGACAGGTGTCGAAATAGTTAACAGGTCGAAATTCCCTTCTTTGGTGTAAAATTTTGTGGCCATGCTTTTAATTTCTCTAATGAGTTCAGATCCTCCCAAATTCTGTAGTGCTGCTGCAAACCTGACGACTATTGGTGTTTTCTTGCCCACTCCATTGAACACATCAGCATATGTATACTTGGAGACATCGTGCGTGACTTCGAAGTAGCCAAAGGCTCCCGTACCCTTGGCAGTAGCTATTCGCTCTGGTATTCTTCGTCCATCAAAAGTTGAGAATGTATCGACAAACAATTGGTTGTTGAACTGATCGGAGTTAATTGTTATTGTGTCACGAAGTTCAACTGGATCTCCGGCAACTTTGGTCCATAGCCCTATAGGATGCTGAAAATAACAAAACACATTTATATAAATTCAATGTAATAATTTTCTATCACATCTTTCAAGATTGTTTGTTTTTCAAGGTTGAATTTGGCAAAGGACCAGCGACCACTACATAAAACTTTAGTCAATAAGTGTTAAATCAAACAATATTTCAGATGAAACATCGTCATATATTTGTAGCTTTACGCACCGGGTGTTCCTTCTTAAACTCCAACAACTGCCTTTGAACGGGTTCATAAGTAACATTAAGGTATTCCTCACTTTCCACGAGTATTATCACACAAAACAGACACACTACAATCGCCTTCATGATGGATTGCGATCTCGTGCAATGATCCGACGAAACTGGTTTATATAATTGATCAGAAATCATCGATAACAACTGCCAATTATCAGGCGAAAAACAAACAAATACATTGTATCCTACACATATACGCATACAGGATGATTCGATCACATTATACCACAATTATGAGCATTCATATACTAACACGCCTTGAGCAATCGTGGTGATTAATGCTCAAACCTTCTCCGTGTTTAAAGAGGCCTTTGGTCAGCAGTGGGCATTTATAGGCTGTTCATGAGATACGCATTCATAGTGCGTCAAAATCCAGATTCATCTATTACCAGAAATATCAACTGTTGACGACTTTCCACGACTTTTTATTCACAATACAGCTACTTCCTACACAGGTAGAAAAATAAAATTAATTCAGTACCTATAAAGACAGTAAACCATTGGCTACTGAACCGACCAATAGTTACAGAAGATGTGGCTTGGTTTAAAACTATATGATTTAGTAAAAATTAAATAATATCTACGGTGTCTGTACTAAGTTAATCTTTGTTTTCTTATCTACGCACTACCTACTTGAATGTTCCTATGATTAAGTGATAATTGTGAACATTTGTGGGATGCAATTAAAGTAACTCTTAAACATAAATTTTTAACATAATTGTTGAGATAACTTAATAATAACCACATAAATAACCAGACAACCTGTATGTTTACAAACAAACACTAGATTTTAACAAAATTGCGTTGACCTGAAACAATAAGTACCCATTTGGAATCAATCATCTATAAATAGAAACTGTCAGTAGGTAATCATAATAATTTCGAAAAAATCCGTCAATTTTAAAGACCACGTGGATTCATTAGTAATCTGTTACTTGTCTTGTTGAATTCTCATAACTACGAATGATTCAAAAGTAAAGAAAGCCTATGTCTTAGGTGAACATTTTTTTGGTATAGTGCGGAAAATGTGCAGGCGGATCATTTGATGGCAAGCAATCGTCGCCGGGTATGCACACGTAAGTTTTCATTTGATAGATTTTAGCAAACCGTGTGCAAAGCTAGCATTAGGTACTATTGATACCAAAACAAATAATGCTCTACCTTAACAGAATACAGTATTGGACGCCGAAGTAATGATTTTTTCCTAAAATTGAGTAACTGCTTCTGAACTAGTTACTAAAAATGTTTAAGCTTACAAAACTTTACACGCAAGCAATCACCTTGTAGGCAAATGGCATGCACTGTAATCAAATATCATTTTATAAAAAAAGTTAAAAAATGGGTTGAACTTTAGACAAATCATGTTTTTATGGAAGAAACCGGTAAACGAAAAGCCGGATCACATAATCTAACATCACGCCTTTTTATCCCTGAAGGGGTAGGCAGAGGTGCATATTGCGACATTTAATGCAACTGTGCCACCCACTTTTCACTGTTTATGTTATGAGTTCCATGTAATAGGGGGTGAGCCTATTGCCATATACCGGGCACAATTCGAGACTCCGTGCTACCACTGATATATATATTTTTTAAACCCAGTTATCCTTTGCCTGACACTAGATTTTTTCTATATTGTCCGGCAGTTGCACTTGCGACCACTCGGCCAATGAGGCAGTCTGATCACTTGATAACGACAGATAATGACGGACGGATCACTTGATGGTAAACCATCGGCACCGCCCATGGACACCCGGAACACCAGAGGCGTTACAAGGTCGGAACTGGCCTTTTGGGAATCAGGCATTTGAGGATTATTAGGGATTCCGGGATTGGGGAGATTGGGTAGGAGAAAGGAGTAATTGGGCCTCCGGTCACCTCACTCTCACGAGGAAACAGAAAGCAAGTGTTGTTTCACGTCGGTTTTTTGTGAGGCCGTGGTATCACTCCGGTCGAGCCAGCCTATTCGTGTCGAAAGATTCATTATCTTTTAATAAAAATAACGTTTGTAACGCACACGGCGAGCCGAACATAGCCGAGCTAGGCTTCGCTCGCGCTTGCGCACTCGTCGCATCTCCGCAGGACCAACGTGCGAATCTTCTAGAAAAAGTCAACACGCATGTGCGAGACGCACGTGACCCGCGACGTTCAAACAAGCGAGAGGCGGCCGTCACACAGCTCTGCATAGTTTTTTTCAATTTATTTCCCTTAATCCCAGTTGGAAAAAATATTTTACGAGTTTTTCTTTGTTAAGATTACAGTGGCGCCCAACGTGGGGCCCGAATCACGAAAATACTACATTGAGTATTACTATGCCAAACACACGAGCTATGCGCGCTGCTAAAGCCGCGCTCGACGCGGACATCCAGCCGAGCGACGTCAGCGACCGCGAAGATTATGACGAGGCTACGGAGCAGAGCCCTGTACGGGCCCCCGAACCTGTCCCCGCGTCTGAACGTACCGGCGCCAACGCTAGAACAACGGACACCGAAATGTTGCTAGCGAACATGATGGAATCATTCGTCAAGATGCAAGCTGAGACCAACAGGTGCCTGGTGGAGACGCTGAGGGCGTTGCCAGCGGCCTGCGGCCCATGGCAATCGCCGCTGCTGGCATCAACACCGACGCTGAACGCTACCACTACAGGATCGTCTGGGAACTTCGCCAAATGTACCGCACGGTTCAACGGAACTTCCCGTGAACCACAGGTGCTGGAAGCATTCATCGACGCTGTCCAAGTGTTTAAGGAGTGCGCGGACGTGAGCGATGATCACGCGCTGCGGGGGCTCCCGATGCTGTTGGAGGGCGACGCCGCCGTGTGGTGGCACGGCGCCCGCAACACCGTCGCTACGTGGAAGGACGCCGTGCTACGACTTCGCGCCATGTATGGTACGCCGAAGCCGGCGTATAAAACTCTACGTGAAGTTTTCAGCCAAGAACATAAACACGAACGTGCTGAAGTATATGTGTGTAGAATTAGGTCTCTATTAGTAAAGTTACCGTACGTAGTGCCAACCCATGCAAATAGATATAATTTACGGGTTGTTACACCGTCGTGTACGTAAACGGTTACAACGTGACGACATTGTTGACGTAGACGGTTTTATAGAGAAGGTGAGAGCCATTGAAGACGCGATCTCCGAATTATCGTTGAGTACCGAAAATTCTAGTTATACTGCAAAACTTAACGTTCCCGAGACAACAAATGTTTCCCACCCGCAGGCTTCGCGCGATTGCGATAAGAGTGATAAGAGCAAAATCACCACTACCCCGGGTAATTCGAACGAGAACGCGAAAAGGGTTAAACGCGTTCGTTGCACGTTTTGTAAGTTCTACGGTCATACGGTTGACGAGTGTAGGAATCTTAAAAATAAACAAGCCGCAAACACCGACTCCTTAAAAAATAATAATAGTAGCCCTGCCATTCGTTGTTATGGATGCGGTCAAGTGGGCGTAGTGAGGTCGAAGTGCGACCGCTGCGTTGGGAAAAGTGTACCTCAGCGAACGTGCGATTTTAACACAGTGACTGACGATGAGGCCACACACGCTCCGCACGTAATATCATCATCACATCCAACCGTGTACATTAACATCGCGAATAGGGTAGGCGCGGCAATCTTGGACACGGGGGCTAGTTGCACTATTGCGGGTACCTTATTATATAATATTCTGGTTTCGGAAGGAATACAGTTTTGCGAGTCAGAACGCACCATTGGGCTTGCGGACGGTTCTCGAAAACTGAAACGTGTACTCATAGCGACAGTTCCCGTGTTGTTGGAAGGTAGGCAGATAGAAACTGATTTCCTAGTGTTACCCGAGGAAAAAACTGTAACCTTATTAGGTCGCGATTTTATTAGTAAGGCTGGTATAACACTAGACCTGGCCCAGGAGTCATGGTATTTTTCTGACAACCCAGGGAAGATATTACCATTTGTGCGAACTGTCATTTTAAATAACGCCGAACTGATGCAGGCCGACATCTCTAATGTATCCCTGCGTGATGACGAAGGTAATAGGTTATCACCAGAGCACAGAGGCATACTCAACGCCTTTTCGAAGAGGAGATCAGCCCAGTTTGCTGCCGAGGGACCACCGACAGACTTCGCCATGCATAAGATCAAGGTAAGTGACGACCAGGAGCCTATTGCTTCACCTCCTTACAGGCTGTCTACTGTAATGGATCTGCCTTCACGCAGCCCAAGTGAGGTCCGGGAGAATCAATTAAAAGACCCCGAGGTACGCAAGATCATAGACGCGATGGAGTCTAACGATCCATTTAGGGGGAGAGTATGGGCTGATAAAGGATACGTCGTTGTCGACGGAATATTGTATCGCTATGGGCCTGAAAATGAAGAAAATGAAAGACGCCGCCCCGAATCGGATTATAAGGTAGGTGATATGGTATTATTGAAAACCCAAGGACCCAATGATACAGGTAAAGGACAGACGCCGAAGTTCATTCCCCGGCGAGACGGTCCGTACCGCATCAAGGAGATTGTGGGACTTTCTACTTATGCGCTCGAACGCATCAGTGATGGGGTTTTGTTAGGAAAATACCATGCATCCTTGTTAACACCATTTGTAGGTTCCGTACAAGCTCCTCTTCAGGAGAAACGTAAGAGGGGAAGGCCCCGTAAGGCTAACCCAGCAGCGGGGGCGCTCCGCATGGGTTAGAGGGGGAGGGTGTAACGCACACGGCGAGCCAAACATAGCCGAGCTAGGCTTCGCTCGCGCTTGCGCACTCGTCGCATCTCCGCAGGACCAACGTGCGAATCTTCTAGAAAAAGTCAACACGCATGTGCGAGACGCACGTGACCCGCGACGTTCAAACAAGCGAGAGGCGGCCGTCACACAGCTCTGCATAGTTTTTTTCAATTTATTTCCCTTAATCCCAGTTGGAAAAAATATTTTACGAGTTTTTCTTTGTTAAGATTACACGTTTTAATAATTTAATGATTTATCGGATATTGTCTAATAGTAAAACCTAATACTATATTTACATCATTGACACCCACGGCTTTACTTGCTTCTACTAATCCTTAAGTCGTGTCGCGGAGAAACCTAACGGGTAACCG